CACACACACACACACACACGCACGCAGACACACACATATCCGCCTCAAGCAGCCCTTTGCTCTGCTCTGCTGCCGGCTGCTATCATTGAGGCTGCACGGTCAGGTGCAAGAAATGAAAGAGCCATTTCTCAGATGTTTCCACACAAGAGAATTTTGCGGATGTCGTCTCACCTTCAAAGCCGACAGGTCGATTTCAAACTGGCTCTGAGCTGGAGAGTCACACGCCATGATGGAGAACAACAAAAAGAAGCCACTCTTAGTTTGCCAAATATCCGAGAACGGCCTCTGCTGTCACGACCGAGCGTGTGGTCCTCCTCTCTGGGCTCCCCTCCTCTCTACGGTGAGCTCTCTCTTGCTGGACCAAGAGAATAACGCTGGTTGCCTCTCGCTCTGCCCAGCCGTGCTTTGGTTCGGGAGCGCACGGCTAAAGCGCAAAGGCGCGGAATACGGAGGGCGAGAACAGCTCCATGTCCGCCGGGATGTAAAGAAGTACACTGAGTAAGGTGAAGCGCTGCGGAGGATGGATCGCTGCTGTTGCTGCTGCTGCTGCTGTGACAGCCAGGCGGTATGCAAGGGTAGACGGGAGGAGAGCGCACTGCCTCCTCGGGAAACCACGCCTGTCACCGGGCGGGGTTTGGTTTTGCTCAGGCTGTAAGCGCTCTCAAACTTTTGTTTTTCCCCCTAATCTTTTCCTCCAAGCTTTCTGTCTAATAACATTTTCTTTTCTTTTTTTTTTTTTTTAATTCGTGATCAATGTGTCGCGTTGTCTCCAGTGGCGGCTCTCACATGAATAGCGTCCGGGCAATATGGAAAGCCATAAGGGTCAAAAATATTCTCACTAGGGGAAGTTATTACTAGGATTTTATGCAAAAACCATGTATTAATTCTGTAAAATAAAAATGAATGAAACTCCGTAAGGCTTGAATTCCTCAAAAAAAAGAGAAAAGATTTACAACCTTCAAATTAAACAATCTAAAATTCACCAATCTGTACTGATTTAGTTTAATGTTTGTATTAAAAAGCAAAAGCAACATTATTGTCATGTCTTTCTACCCTGCTATATAATGAAACACATATGAACTATCAATCTGAATTCTCACACTATTCCCTTTTTTAACAAAAGGACATATTTCCCCATTCTTTAGGTTGATTGTTTTCTATGTTGTTGATCAGGGGGAAAAATGTCTATAGTCGGCCACAAGAAAGAAAAAAAACAAGGTCGCTTTTTGAAAACTGGCTATTTAGCCAAGTATAATGAAAGTAGAAATCAGAAATGGGTAAAAAAAAAAAAAAATCAGCTTTGTGTAAAAGTCACTGAATTGTCCTAGTTTCTATGAAATTAAACTAAGATGTGGTTAATAAAAGAGGAATCCTTTGTGCTGTATGTTTCTTCTTAAATATTTTTTTCATCTTCATGATTTGTTAATTTGTCAATGAAAATGTTGCCCTCAAAAAAGTAAACAAGTGTTGCAATTTTTTTTCTAAGAATCACAGCAAATAACCCTCTAGGAATTTAGATTTTGTGGATCTTGTTACTATTACTTTATCTTTGTTTGCTGTCATTGAAACTCCCTATAGTCAACTGACCCAAGATAAGAAATAGTTAGATTTAGCTTATTTTTCTGCAGTGTTTAAAATACATCCTACAAGGCAAGTCCAAGGCTACACACCAACCTTACATTACAACGTCACAACGTTGCAAAATTTAGTTAGAAATCAGATGCTGTGGTCCTGAAGAGCCAAAGTAGGCATGTGATTTGATCCCTCTAAATCAGCGACTGGTTAAAGTGTTTCGGCAACTTCTGTGAGTTGTTTTCCTCCTGAAAGAATCTGACGTGCACCGTTTCCAAAGTTCACCTGGTGAATGGATGTGGAACGCGTGTCCTCTGTGATCATCCTAACTGGAACACCTGGTTAAAACGTGTTTTCTTAAAACTCACACTTTTCCTTGCACTCGTGCTCTTGGAATGGCCTCTGAGAACAATATCAATTGAAAGGGTTTATGTTTTAATGGGTTCTTTTTGGTACTTTTATGACTTCTTAGATAAATCTTCAACGTGTTCTTAGATAAATTACACTGGACTCCGGCCACTCTAGTGTTCTTTGTTTGGGGATAAGTGACACTCCCTGTAGTTCACTGGAATCCCAAAGCCTTAGAAATGACTTTGTAATCATTTCCATTGTTATTAATGTCAATGAATTTGACACCTTTCTTGAATTTCTTTAGAACATGTTGCTTTTTAAAAAATCCTCCGGCCTACTTAATGTTGTGAAACAGTTTCCATTTCAGTGATTCCTTGATTCCACACCTCTTGGCCTTCGGGGGCCAGTGTGGGTAATTACAGTTAATTCATGATTTAACAAGAAGACGATTACTTTTTCATAGTTTGCTTGATGAAGTGAAACATTTATGCATGGTTTAAGAGAAAAAAAAACTGAAGAAATGTGTATGGAGTCAAATACTTTTATCCCAGAACTGTGTTTATTTAGGGAACCTTGCCTACTTGGATACTTAACCTGGCATTTATTTGTGCATGGCATTGAACCAGTGAAACTGACTAATGAGTTAGACAAGGTCAAGATAAAGATGCGCTTGAAATAATTCTTCTAGAGCTTTAATTCATTTCTGAAAGATATGTTAAGAAAGAAATCAACAGCAGGAAGATCACGGGCCACAATCTACCAGTACTTTCTTTAAATGTAGGTGCTGGTTGTTGCTAATAAAAATAATCAACACTTATCAGTTCTACGTCACTCAGCACTTCATCACATCAAAACCAGCGACTGACAACACCACGCAAAGGAAACAGGTCAACAGTTAAATTTGCAATTTTAAGAATTCATAATTTTCCTCCTCCGGGAGAAGGAAGCTTAGTTTAATTTTCCGGGGTGGAAACCACCTTCAGACATTTTTCCATTCCTGCTTCACTTCTCTTTAGTCACATTTCCTTTTCCAGCTTTTGCCTGATGTCTCACTTTGTTCTCCAAAGGTGGAAAGTTAAGACGGTAAAACCGAAAATTTCTAGATTTTATTTTTTTTTTTTTCATGAGATGGAAATAAGTTTTGTAGAAATTCAGTTTCTTATTTCTTGGAAAGGAAAAAGAGCCTGTCGTGCCAGTGTCAGTATGCGATGAAACATTAGGTACCAAGCCCTGAAATTGGTTCAGTTCAGGTTTTTCTACTTCCAAGTCCTGAATTTCTGCTGCTTTCCTGGACTTAAAAGGTTTTGTTTATTGTTTTAATTTTTTTTTTATTTTATTTGTACTTAAATACTTTCATTACAGTAAAAAAATGTGCAACTGAATTTTGTTTACTTTATTTGTAAATAAAAAAGATATTCAGTGGTTTCCATGAGTACTTACACGCTTTAATGTTTTTCACATTGTGTCACACTGCAACCATAAACTTTTATTAATTGGTTTCTACATGATAGCCCAACAGAAAGTATTTCATTGCTGTAAAGCAGAAAGAAAGAAATTCAGGTTCTCAAAACTTTTTCTATTACAAATCTGAAAGGTGCGGCGTACTTACTCACCTCTTTTTTTTCTCCCACGCCCTTAAAGCAATTCAGCGCAACTTGATACAGTGAATGAAACAAACACAGGACAGTCATACATTACTTACCTGTTTTAATATTGTTCAATGAAAAATTGTAAAGACAAGGTAAATATGTGCTTCTCGTTTCACCTTGCACAGCTTGATTTTCACTGATGGGTGGCTGTTGTGATGCATTATTTCAATCATTTTGATTTTTCTATGCACCAAAAGCTTTAAGCACATTTTAAATGCAAGGTAAGCATGACCTCTTAAAGGGCGGGCTATAATCTACTTTTCAGACACATAGTGCCATTTGATAACAAAATAATTATGTCACCTTCAGTTGTTATGAAAATGCTGTATCAAAAACAACTTAGGAGAAATCTGGCGTCGCATCACAGCCACATCAGACACCTTGAAATTGGGCCTCTGTCTCTTTAAGAAGCTGCTACTCGTTTCAGACACGCCCACTTCAGCACATCGTCCCAACGGTCCTTCTTAATGTCATCCAATGCATTGTAGGAGCATTGTAGTTCATATGATAAGCTCAGTAGAACTTGAAAAAATAAATGGAGGTTGAGGAAAATGTAGCAAGTGGAACTGTGTAAGTTACACTATGCTGCTGCCATGGTTACAGGGCTATTATCCAGGATGACTAGTTTATCACGAATAGGTGAAGATCTAACCTCACCTGAGTGCATGCAGGCTTTGTTCTGATTCCTGTCCTGACTTGAGAGTCGCCAGGAGTTCAGTTGAAATGACTGCACTACACATCGGCAGCAGAATCTCTTTTTTGTTTGTTGTTTTTTGTCAGTCTTCCAGACCAACGGAAGCAACCCTTTTCTTTTTCTCTCATCCATCTCATAAAAAAACAAACAGTGACTCACTAAGAAAAGAAAGTCTTTAAAGACTTGGAGTTGAGGAAGAACTCAGAAACCGTCATTGTTCTGGAGAAGAAAGCTGAGCTCAAACAAAGCTGGTGGGAAAAGTGTCAGGATTTCACCTGGAATTCCACAGAACTCCAGTCCACCCTACAAATTACTCACCGATTCATTACTGACGTGTTGGCTTTTGGATTCCTGCTTATCGCCATAAGCATAGCAACTTCGCACAAGTAGAACAAAAATTTAATTAAAACAATTAAAAGTGTTTTTCCTTTGGGGAACTGCTAGTCTGCCAATTCATCATCTCTTTCAAACTTTTTAATGAAACCTCTACAGCAGTTCTGTGGAGTTTCCACACAAACTCTTCAAACATCTGAGAAAAACCATAAGCCAGATCAAACATCAAAATGCTTAAAATGACATTTTTGTTGTGAACACAATCACAATTAAAAAAAAAGTCTATGCTGGGCACACAGATCGAGACGTTACGACGTTTACTTTTTGCGGGTCGAAAGAAGCCAGACTTTAATGTGTCACAATGCGTTAAATTAAAAACCAAAAATTAGAACGACTTCAGATTGTACAGACAAGAGAACAAGGAGTTAGACAGCTGCACGACAGTACAGTTAAGTTACAAATAAACAACCGTTATAACCACGATATTCACTAAACATAAAGTGTTAAATGCTTCACAATTCATAAATAATGCACTGACAAATACAGAAACTCAAAAACATACATTTCTGAGCAGATTCTCCTAAAATAACACCTCTTGGTCCCGACTGAGTGCTTATTCACAAGAGTCCATAAGATGTTTTCTCACCCTGCTGCTTTCAGGCCAGGCTGGATGATTCAAAAGCTGGGTGTGGCAAAAACAACATTAAGATACGCAGTCCCAAATAAAATGGGTCATCTAGCGTTTTTTTCTTTCTTTTTTTTTCCATTCGTTTCAACTGACAACTCTGTCAGTCTCTCATTTCTCCCGCTCCTCCAAGAATCTTCAGTCAAACGGTTCCTACATTTAGAATAAGCTGCAGCTCTGCATCTCTGGAAACTGCGCTCCGCTTTTCACATTCGGGGGGGAAAGATAGCGATCAAACAAGGCGGAATGTAATGGATATATTTCGACGGCGGACACGTAAGCTCACGTGCGCGCGCGTCGACGAAACGAGCGTGTCATAAATCAGACAATCTGGAGAAGCCGGTTCCGTGTGCACGCTATTTGGGATCAGGAATTCTGAGATTTTTACATGACGGTTTTGTTTCAGCTAAAACTGCCTTAAAAGTTGGATTTGAAACAGATTTGAACTTTAATTTAGACTCAGACAAACTAAGCGAAACAACCTAATAAAATATCCCAGCTGTTGGGTTTGCAGTCTGTTCTTTTAAGAAGCTAGCACCACCAGCTGGACAAAAGGGGGAAAAAAAAAATGATTTGCTCAAATGTGCAGGATGATTGTCTGATACATCCCATCTTTGATTTCATTATTCCAAATTTTTGAATTGAAAATAAATAAATAAAAATAAATAAAACAAAGATACGCAACCCCGGATACAAATCTGTCCCGATAAACGTCTCTGAGACGTTGAGAACGGCCTTGTGGTCCGTAGATGCAGGAACGGCAGACGTGCGCGCCCGGCACGATTTGTTGGGCAGCAAATCCTTCATCGACGTCGAGGGAGAACAGGAAGAATATTCTGGATTTCCGACTTAAAAACCCCACGCCTCAATAGATTAGGAAGTCAGGTTAAAAAGGTGCGCAGAGGTAAAAAAACAGCAATTATAGCACTAACATCTCACAAACTCGGTGAATTATGTGCATTGTTGTCAACAGAGAGGTGAGCGTCTCGATGGCACCGCCAAACTGTTTTCACGATGGACCCTGTGAAATATCTGCTGTGAGCAGTTCAAAGTCCCAGCATCTCAAACTGCCAACAATTTCCCTCACTTTGAAAAGATCCTGTTATGATTATAGTCCCATTTGTTGTTCATACTGCACATCCAACAAGGTTCAGCTGACTTGCGGTCCATTTACATAGTTTAGTGTTTTCAGGTATCCACAGGTTTGAGAGGTTCCAGGTTCCTGGGGGTCAAATGAAGCTAAAAAGACTCCTGGAAATCTGACTCTCGTGTCTGGATGAGGGATGAAGCACAGACCCTGTGGCTAAGGTCCAGTACTGGTCATCGTCCCCTTATGTCCAGATCTCGGTCGGGACCATGGCTTCTTTCGATCCGACTGAGGGCATCAGGTTATGCTCGGACAAGAAATCCAGGGGAAACTGGACCAAAAAGCCCCGGATTTTGCGCAGCTCCTCCTGAGCGCGAGCTTTCTCGGTCTGAGCCAAACCCGGCTTGGACTGGAACTGCTCCAGCTCCGACATGTTCCTCACCAGGGACGAGGGAAGGCAGCGGAAGACCTGCAACGAAACGAAGAGAAGACAAATCAGTTTCACAGCCTCACCTCTCTCTGGTTCTTGGGGCTCTTTTTTCACCATGTCCAGAACTTTGTCCGAATGTGAAAAATGATAGAGATTTTGTTTCTAAACGCCTATCTAAGGTAAAAACCAAAACTTTAAAGTTTGCAGAGTTTTTTTTTTTTTTTCTCAATCAGATGAAGCTGTCAAGAAGCAGGATCTTATCTTTGCTCTACCTTCTCATAGATGGTAGCGTTCCGGCCAGCCGTGGTCATCCACACCTCCTTGTAGAAACGATCGCTGACGGGGTCGGAGAGGTCGATGCTCGTGTCCGTGTGGCCTCCCAGGATTGTCCTGCTCAGGAGGAGATAACAGTAAACACACATAAAGGAAATATGTTGTCTTTTTTTACATATGTATATATATAATTTACTAGTTACTCGGTGATCTCAATAACAACCCTATTGATAATCACAAAAACATAAATTACAGACGCTGGGGGCACTCTGATTGTATGAACATGAAATGTAAATGACCTAATGGCGTTTTTTTGTTTGTTTGTTTTTTTTTTCCTTTCTAACACAGGCGTCTATTTTCAACGAGCACCTGAAACATTCAAGGCGCAGCTCGAGTGCGTAGGGTCCAGCTTGATACTCCTGCCCGTCCATCACCGAGGACACTTTCTCAGAGTCCTCAACAATCACTGCCACTTCACTGTCACGCTTTCCCAGCATGCTCCGGTCATTGATGTTCGCAGACCCTACAAAGAAAGAACAAAGAAAAAGGCTTAAAGTAACTCAATTCGAAGTATTCAATTATATTTTTAAAACCCTTCAGGGGTAATCTTAATGTGGTTGTTGAGGAATAGATTTTGGATTTGATATGCATGGTTACTGTCACAGTGCAAAATGATCTCTACCGAAACCTCCATGCACAGAAACCTCCTACATTAATTTATATAAAAATATCAGATTTTTTGGCCTTTAAAAGGATTAAAACTTAAAGATCTTGCACGTCGGTCACACTGCACGTTTTTTTAAAGCGGAAAAGAAAACACTTCTCTGAAAGAAAAAGACTTTTGAGACAACTCAAAATGGAACATGAAATTCCTTACGCTATGTAACGAGCCATAACGCCCTCTGTCAATCCGTCACAGTAGTTTTATTAAAAAACAAAAAAAACAAAACAAACAAAAACATGTCTGACAGGTATTTGTCAAGAGATATGCAGGTTTCTCTTGGTACGCCTTCTGGTGAGCAGTTTCGCGTGAAACATGTTCAAACTCTGCGGAATAAAAACGGTTGAAGAAGCTGGTGAAGAAGCTTTGCCCTCCAATGTGTCCCTGGTTTATAAAAAAAACAAAAAAAACAGCCGAACCTGAGGGAAATGACAACACGGTTTGTGCCATGCCTACAACGGATGACCAAGACCACCAAGACCAGTGCCGCTGATGCCTTTCTTGAACCCAAAGTTTCTTGTTTAAGTAAATTCTGTTGTTTTTCTCAAATGAAAACTGCACCAACACAATTTTATCTGCTGCAGCAGGACGTCGCTGTTTGACTCAGAGAGTGAAAGAAACGGGGTCTCAGGTACGTTGCACTCCTTCCGTCCGACATGTGCAGCATTAGTTGAAAGTATGAGCCACGTCTAAGAGGTCGTTTGGGAAAACTATCTGCAGAATGACTTGTAGAGCTTGAGCGGTGTGACAGACTGTTCCCTATAAACACTATTTCGACAGCTACATCTGAAAACGTGGACCGACTGCTCATACGCAGACTTTACAGGGCGTCCTTTGTGTTGTGTGCACCGTCTCATCCTTCACTGGCAACTTTGCGCTGTGTCCTCACCTGCCCTCCTGTTCACTTTTTATTCATTTACTTTTCACAATTTTCTGAACTTTAAAATTTTAAAATGACTAGGCACATTTTCAGACGAGCACAAACACAACTAAAACAGGACAAACGGTACAAGCAGTGACCACATATGAGATATGAGTTAAAGAAAGTCACAGCCATAACTTGCTGTGCATTATCGTCGTTAAATGAATTAAGAACTGCTGTCATTTTAAATTCTATTCAAACAGCTAAGAGGAAACTCAAGGAAGGAAAGACTTAAAAACTTGGATTTGTGTGCAAACTTCTTGTCTTTTTTCTTTTTTTTTTTTACATTTTTTTTAGACAGAAATCAAGAGTCGGTTAACATGGTTTCTTCCAGCTGAAACCAAACCAGGGCAATTGTTGCAGTTTTGTGGGGAAAAAAAAATCCATGTTAAGAGAAGTTTTATCTTGACGGTTTCTTTAATTCTGCTTTGATTGTAAAAATAAAAAATGAAAAAAATTATTTATGCCCTTTACTTAATTTAGAAAACCTAAATTAAGTGAAATCTAATGCAATAATATTGTGAAAACATGTCCAAAATAGCTTCATAGGGTGCTTGACTTGAAACTGAAAAAAAATATATTCTAAACTTACTGAGATCTCAGGTGGCGTTGAGGTGGCCTCAATCAAGTGTGAAAGGAATTAACGTAAAGTGAGGGAAAAGCAACTACAATAAACTTTACAAATACTTAACGGTTGACCTCAAGGCAAACAAACAACAACAAAAAAAAGATTTATTTTAGAAGTTGTGAAGTTGCCTCAACATGTAGACCTGATGTCATGTGCTTTCTTCACCAGCAGATGGCACACTAGAGCTGTGCAACTTTGATCACATCTTCCCGCAGTGTTGCTTTGCACATTAGTTTGCTAATGGTCTGCACGTGGTGAAATGGAGCCAGAGATTGAGCTTTCTCACACTTTCTTAGTGGGAAAAAAAAAAAAAAAGTTGATGTCTTCAAATAGCAGCTGATGAGAACGGCACCGGAAGGAAGAGCGACAGAAGGCGAAAGTGGAGACAGACTAACCGATGATGACCGTGTTGTCGTCAGCGATGAGCATCTTGCTGTGGACGTAGATGAGCTCCGTGATGAGGCGCCCCTCCAGCTCGGCGTGAGTCCGCAGACCGGCGAAGGAGATGTAGTTCATCCACTGGTCGTCCACTGGGGGACAGAAAAGGGCGAGACGAGGTTAGAAAACAGCCACTTCTCACTTTTCAACTGAACGTATCAAGATATCGCAGTAGTACTTCACTTACTCTCCTTCTTCAACTGGGAGATGATGGCGTATTCTCCTCTTATCATCGTTCTAAGTAAAGACAAAACAAACAACATTGATCAAATACGTCCAGAAATAAGACCAAGGATGTGACGCTACTTCGCTGTCTGCTTTTTCATTTTCCTTCCTCTTTTCATTTTAAGTACCTCCACTAATTCTATTAATGGATGTTTGGCTATATACCTGTAGTTAAAGTGCATCACAGCCTGGATGGCGTTCCCTCCACCTGTAGTGATGTCACCCTCGAAGCCCGGAAGCAGAGGAGTGACCACGTACACGCGGTACTTCTTACCCTCCCTGAAAAGCAAGCAATCAGTTGCGACCATTTGTTGGATGCACGGTAAGAAGCTCGTGTCGGTTTGTAGTTACAAAAACTAAGGAAATGTGAAAAAGAGATATTTGCAAGATAAAAGCCCTCTTTTTTTTTCTTTTTTTTTTAGCATTGCTTCAACTTGCTGCACAATAGAAAAGGGAAGTACTTGTGTGCCCTGATGATCCTTTCGATGATGGCGTCTCCGATCTTGTTGTAGACCGTTCTGTTGTCTGCACAGCTGATGAAAAACTGATTCTGTGGTTGGAAAATTAAAAACAAAACGATGAGACGTGCATCATCTCAACTTAATTCCATAAATGATTTCACTGCGCAAAGATACAAATCGCTCCCAGTTTCTTGTAAGTATAAATTAGGCAAACTCTTTAATGGCACATTTTCTTTTTCAGTTACAATCACATAAAAACTGTGTTGGAAAGTTCAAGAACAGGTTTTGTCACGTCTAATCCTGACAAGCACATCCAGGTGATCTAAAAATGATCACCATCTGATGCCTTGACTTATTTATTTTGGTCCAATCGATAAAAAAAGCCGCCCATCTTCTCAAATAATCTGGGTTATCTAAAAATCTGGAACATCTTTTTCCCAGGTGTTCCAGCAGAAAGAACCCAAGCATTCATGGGTTCTTTCTGGCTTCCTCCCACAGACTCAAAACATTGCTGTCAGGTTAATTGATGTCTCCTTATTTAAGAGTGTCTTCATGCATTGTTTGCCCAGTGATGGACTGGTGACCTGTATAGAGCCTTTCTCTTAGTGGTAGGCGTCACCACATCCCACAACACTGCGAGGATAAGTGCGTATAGACGATGGAGGGATGGATGATGTGAAATGTTTTGTGTAAAAATTAAGATTTTTGAGCTTTGCTCGCTTTTTTTTGTTTGTTTTTTTTGTTTTTATAAACACAGTGCTATAATTCTGAAAACAAATATACATGGTATCAATGAGATATCAAACTGGAGGCAAGAAATTCTGATTGGGGAAAGGCAACGTGTAATACTGGGTCAAGCAGCTTAAAACATAATGGTTTGTTTGTCATTTCTGAATCTTATATTCTGAGCCACAGGGACTGCCACCATCATGCAGTAGTACAAGACTTGGCATTCTTTATGTGTTTTTTTTGTAATGTGGAAATGACTTCGTTGCACTCCTCTTCTTGTACACTGACTGGCGAAAGTTAATACCAGGTCCTACATGATCTAGATGTTGGAATTTATAAAAAAAAAATGTGTACATAAAAAAAAAACAACAGATGCATGGATGGATTTTTAAGGTTACGAATACAGTTTTAAAAATTGTTTTAGATTTTGACATGTCGATTAAACAGTCTGGATGGTCTGCCTGCTAAAATGCTAAAGTTTTTTTTTTTTTTTTGTGGTAGGAAGCGAGAACAAGTCAGACCAAAACCCACACAAGCAAAGAGAGAACATGCAAGACCCACACAAAAAGGCGTTCGCAAGCGAGATTTGATCTGTGATGCAACAGAAGTGACTCACAAGAAGTCCTTCTTCTTCATTCCCTAATTTGTGCTAATCCTTTTAATCAGATAAAAATAAACACACATCTCCTTTAACAGCCTCGGTGATGCTTTACCTCTATGTAGACGTAGTGCTTGCTCTTGGCGATGACCTGGATGTAGGCATTATGAATGGACTCCTCGTGATATTTAATGCCTGCTGACCAATCCGCTGATGATCGCAACACCTTGCACAAAAAAAAAAAAAAAAAAGAAATGGAGAAAGTTATTTAAAAAGCACTTTTCATAAAAGATGATACAACCTGAAGCAATTTCAAAGTGAATGGTTGTGTGCAGAGCTTCTTGTACTGCAGAGTAAACTAATTAGACGGGTAACACAGCTAATGTGGTTATAATATGCCAGACAGAAAATAATTCTCATAAGCTATCGAGGAGACTGAGGGTGTTGTTTGTGAGCATAAAGTTTCCCACTTAATGTTACCTATAATAACTAGCTACAGCACCTGCTTTTTTTAATCTCAGTGTCTGAGCCAAATGAAGAACAAATCATTTTTCAGTATTTTTAATTCCCTTCCAAAATGCAAAGTGGTAACGTTAGCTTGAAGCGACTTTTTTAATGTACTGCAGTCAAACCCTCATAAGTTTGACTTATTAGTTGACCACAGACTGATTAGGTGGAGATTATTCCATTCTCTGCTTTTATGCTTTGCACAATCGCTGCACTGATAAAATCGCATTCGTGGCGATAAAAGTGTTTGCTGACAGGGAGTGCTGACAGTTGTGTCTGTTAGAGTTGCTACGATTGTCAGAGCCTGACTGGAAATGAGATGCTATAGAAACCTGTAGTAATAAAATCCTGCAAAGTGACTAAACCGTGAAGCCTAGGCATAGATGAATTATATGGTAAAAAAAATAAATAATCAAATATCTCAAGTGAAAAGGATGAATGCAACAAGCTTTTTGCAGCTCTTTTACATAAACTGATAGGACTTTAAAAACACAGTTTTAGCAAGAGTTAACAGATTTATGATGTGATCTTTATACATATCCTATTAATTTTAGTTTGGTTTTTTTTTTTCAGCTTGAACTTTGTGAACAGAAGTATAGCACTTGTTGCATTACGTAACTTTCTTGGAGCACAGGGATACGTCTCTCTGCTATCTGCTTCCAGCAGCCATTGAAGAGGTGGGCAAATGTTTGATAGTGGGAGTTTATCTCGCATGTTTTCTCTTTGAATCCTCCACCGTACTGGTGGAAACATTTCGCAATACGTCCCTAAAATGCATTCCGTTTCTTTTAAATATTAGCGCCAGGTCGCGTTCCCTCACCTGTACTTTAGCGTTAACACACCCAGGAACTTGGTACTTGAGCTCGTCGGCAGAGGAGTGAGACTTTGGCAGGAGGAAAGGGTAAGAGAGAGAGCGGTACTTTGGCTTCATGATCTGCAGGAGGAAAAAGTAGGAGAAATTAAGCAAAAGAAAAAAATAGAGTAAATTTAACATAAGGAATTAAAGCTGGAAACGTTTTAAGGCCAGAAAATAGAAGGGGGAAAAAAAAAAAAAAGTCAAAAGCCACAGAAATTAGAAGCACTGAGATGAGGGCATTTTTTCCACACTGTTCCAGTAAAACATTTCCAAATTAGCACATTTTTTCCCTGCATTTTTCTTTTCCTAACCCATAAACACCTTCTCTTACTAAAAGCCCGAATAAGCTTAAAAAAAAAACAAAACAAAAAAAAACAACCACAAAGTTGAAACCTATTTTATCCATAGACTGATCTTTATATATAGTATTTCCCTCATTCTTCCTGTTTGTTTATTTTAAGGCGTGGCATATGGAAATCATTATACTTTCGTAAAGTTCCACCGCTGGATAAAGTGCCTGGCCACATCCCGGGCGCCTCGCCCATGGACCACCGAGGCGATGTCATGCCAAGGCATTCTGGGAGTGGTGTACCTGTCGATAAAGTCTGTACAGCGTGGAAAAACATGGGGGCGGGGGTAGGGAATAAATAAAAAAAAACATCATGTCAAATCTCTTTAAGATAAGTGCACTTTATGTTACTTAATCGTAACGTACTGGTACAAATATTGGAACTTCTATCTAAAGTAATAATAAGGAAAACAGTTGAGATATAGAAATGTGTGTATTTGTGTACCAGACCATCAAAAGGTTTCTCCAGCTGGATCCAGTCCTTGTAAACAAAGTTGCAGTAGTCTTTTCCGTGCCAGAAGCGGGTGTTTCCCTGCAACTCGCCAACACCCGTTTTCAAGCTTTTGACAGAACCACTTTCTACAGATATGCACATGTGGGGGGAAAAAAAAAAAAAAAAAAAAAAAACGTATATTATCTCAGTAAAAAGTGCTGATTCACACATTCCTAACAACACCTTCATCGAAAACAAACAGAAGCCGCATGCGGCTTTCGTTCTCGCACACAGCAATGCGAGATGTGGAATTAGAACATCATTGTGTGTCGAAGCGAAAGCAAAACAAGAGTGTTGACTTTCACACCTGCGCTGTCCACGCTGCTGACGCTGTCCACGTGCTGCAGAGTGTGCTTTTGCAGGTGTCTGTACAGGCTGAACCGGACCATCCTGCTGCGCCCAACGCCCTTCAGCTTGGGCAACTCGGCTGCGTCGGGAGTCGGAGTCCCGAGGCCGTTGCTCTGCGGGACGTCGTGAACGGCAGACACACCCTTATCGGAGGAGGGAGGGCTGGCGCTGGCGCTGGCGGAGCTGGCCTGCAAACAAGTACAAGATGAAGATAAGAAAAAAATAAATAATCAAACGTCCGACTGTTTGACATTCCCCAGATAAAACTGTTTAGAGATTAAGCTCTTCAGTGAGCATTGCGGCTCTCGTAGTCGTACTGATAAATACAGCCGTGCTAGGCACCACAGCGCCACGCAGTCGGAAATCTAAACACTGGATCAGGCTAGAACCCTCCTGTGTTTTGGCAAGTCTGCAACAATGAAGATTTAGTATTCTTGATCACCTCACTTTATCTTGGAAAAACCTGGAAGCTTTTCGTTAAAAAAAAAAAATAGTAAAAATGTTTTGCTATATAAATTGCTCTTTTGCTGCAGAAGAGAGACTGTGTGACCAACTGCTGAGAAGAATGGGGAAGCCCGTTCGGCTAACGGTTAGTTAGCCTTAGCAAACCTTTTTCCTGCTAATGTTTGTCGCATGGACAGATGTGGGTAGTGACTAGTTACATTTTGCATTTACTTGTGTGACATTTTGGAAACAAGGAACATTTAGGAGTATTTTCACTTCACCATGCGTGTTTTTTTTTTTTTTTCTTGAGTAATATAACAATGTATTAGTCTGCACTTCACATTGTCTGTCTGGTCAAATACAGCTACTATTATCTGTCTTTTAGCATTTTCAACCTCTATCTGAAACAAAAGAAGAATATTGGCAGCATGTAAATCAAAACAAAACTCATCGGGTATTTAATAGGCAGACCTGCTCGAGAGCCACAGAGCGCGTCACGCTGCCCACATCTGTCAGCCGATGCTCTTTGTCGTCCCATCGTCCATAAGCCAAGTCGATGCCGCCCACAAAAGCCACCGATTGGTCAATAACCACAATCTTCTCATGATGGGCCCACAGGTACACGGACGAAGAGACGTGGTCTGGATGCCGCATAACCTGGGACACAAACAGACACTTGTCGCTATTCTGGATCGAGACAACTGGGCATCAAGAACAATGTGTACGATTTTAGTTTACGCCGCATTGGATTTCTTCACGTGATCAGCTTGAAAAAAAAAAATATATATATATATTTTTTTTTTTTTTTGCTGTTCGACAAAACGGGATGACCGCTGGCCACTAACCTTGATGTTGGGGTGCAGGTGCATGAGCGTCCTTTTGCTGTAGCCCGAGTTGATGCCCAGGGCGAGCTCCACCTCCTTGTACAGCATCACAAATATCCGTACTCCCTGTTGCTGCGAATGCAAAAAAAAAAAAAAAAAGGTTGGGGATCTTGCACGTGTATTCATTCAAATGTCGAGAATACTCTGTTGGACAGAATATCTTGAATAAGTATTTATGCTTCCTGATACTTTTCCACATTTTGTCCCGCTACAACCACTAACTCCAATATATGTAAATGGGATTTTATGGATATTTGAGTTGTTAGACCAATACAAATGTGAGGTGGAAGAACAAAAAGATACTTTTTTTTTATCTTAAAGTTAGCTGTCCTGTTTAAGCGCTGAGAGGTTTCGTTTGACAACGATAATTGAAGAGCATCATGAAGACTGAGGAACAGAGCAGAGAGGTCAGTGATAAGGCTGTGGAGAAGCTTAACGCTGGATTAAGTTATAAAATAATAACCTGAGCTCTAAAACTGGAAACACCGCTTACCGATATGTAAACACCTAAACTGACAGACCAGGCAAGAGACCCACTAAACTGAGAAGCGCCCAATGAGGACAGGGGTTGGCATTAGTAGTATGTTTTAGCAATTTGCCACACGCCATGTAGATGGTACAATAAACGTAAAACAGGTGACTTTTTTTTTTCTTTTTTTTTACAGACTGGCACGCAACCCCAAACACACAATCCCTATGACTGAACATGGTGGTGGCAGTGTCATGATGTGGAGATAGTTTTCTTCCTTGGGGAGAGATATAGAAAATCAGAGCTGATGTGAAGATGGATGGTAATAAAAACGGGGCGCTTACGGGGCAGAAAGCTTAAAACTGGGAAGCAGAGTTTGGATCAAAGCATATTCGTGGGTTAGAGCGATTCAGTCTAATTCAGACACAAATATAATAGAAAATTAATTGCAAAACTTGAAAATTAATGTTAACATACACCTTCTGTGATATCTGGCTGGGTTTGAGTATTTTGTGAGGATGGATCTGCAGTAAAACGTGACACTACAAAGTATTGATCCACGGTGGCTGAATTAAAAGTCAACAATTTTAACAACTGCACGTGATTTTCTTTCCACTTGGCAATTCTGTGCCATTTTATATTGGTCTGTCAAATAAAATCACAATAAAATGCATCTTTTCCTTTTTTTACTTTCAATACTACCAGCCACACAAATGCAAAATGAGTCTTTTAGCTCAGGGAAAATTATATTCATTTGCGTGATATGTTTTATTTATGAACACAGATTCCACAGGAATCAGCATTTGGCCTAAAAAGTCAATCAGCTCCTTGTACTGTAAGGCGAGTCATTTCACTATAATCACTGTTCACGTAGTGCCTGCTTACTGCTTTGCGTTTGAGGATGCAGTCCAGCCTCCATCTGTTTCCTTCTACAACGGGTCTCTTCAGGAAGATTTCCGGACTCAACCTGACGAAAAAAAGAAAAAAAAAAAAAAAGAAACAGAAAAACACAAAGAAGGGCAAACAGATGAGTAAATATCATTACTTGTATACAATCGTAGTAGAAAATGAAACCTCGATCTGATTGACTTATATTTTGCTGTCTACAGTATAACAGACATGACACGATGCAGTCTTATGAGCCAATCACACTGGCATCCGGCTCATGTTACACTGGCTAACACCTCATTGGTAAAGAGCCTAAGCCCGGTGATTACAGCTTTGGAACGCTGGGATTTCAGCGGCGCAAAACATTTCTCCCCATCTCTCCCTCAGAATACGCGCGTAAAGCAAAAACACCAAATAAGTTCTTGTACCTGCAAAACCAAGTATTTACAATATGCATATGGTGTGGCTAAACAGTTTCTGACGGACTGAACAAATGCAAAAAAAAAAAAAAAAAAAAAAACTAAGTGCGAGACAGCAAATTATGAAATGACAGAGAGATAAAGGGGTCCAGCAGATGGGCAAACGGATACGGAGACAGTCGGCGGATTTTCTATTCTTGGTTTCAGGCTGTAATTAGAGCCAGAACAACGTCGCGGCTCCCTGGCAAGGCCTCGGGATTCAGTGGCTGAGACGTAAGATAATGTGTAAGGAAACGTGCTTCGCTGGCCAGTACGCTGTGCCAGGCTGTCCTCTCATTCTGTGGTAGCAGAGTGACAGGTGAGTGAAAACAAGGCATTAAAACCGTTCCAACATGCCGTCAGGAGTTGGAACATTTTAAAGCCGGTTGCATCCTCTGAATGCAAGCGGGCAGCACAAACACAGAAGCTGGGCTGTATGCTAGGGTGAACTGCACGAGTCTTAAAACGGGACAATGAGACACATGGATGCTTTGCATAAAGTTGACGTAGATCTCTACGTGTGTCTATAATAATCATATCCGAGATGTCACGTTTTAAAAAAATGTGCGTTTCAAAGATGCTGGATCTACAGGTCCGTATGTTCCCTTCCTAACAAAAGTGCACTGATGATGAAAACAGAGCTGGGTAATGAAGTGTGGTTTTAAACAGCAGGATTTCACAAAAAAAAAAAAAAAATCTTTATAAAGCTAACGCAAAAACAATCCCTCCGAATATTCTGAAGTGTATTTGGGTTCGTGACATAACAAGAGGCATAACTCGGCGTTTCATGCTTGTAGTGTTGAAGGAGCAACTTTTATGTAGATTTTGGCACAGAATCTTGATTACCTGAATTACAAGACGTTCAGCCTTCTTTGTTTCTTATGTGACGTCGCCAGAAGCATGTGAATGCAAAAACATGTTTCTGCAGGGAGCGTTTTTATCCAGACAAAACAGCAAAAGAAACCAGAAAAAAACTTGCTTGTTGTTCTGCAGAAGCTACATCCAAAGGATTTGTTTTTGCAGAAAACTTTCACTCCAGTTCAGTTTCACATTTACTATTTCAACCTTTTTTTTTATTATTTCTGACCCTATAACAACATCAGCACTCATCTAAAATGGTTTTAAAGTCAAAGTTGCGTTATGTTATGGTGGATGTAGCCAACTGAATTGAGCTGATCCAATACACTTTACCAAAAAAAAGGCAAGTATTAAAACATAAGTGGGAAAAAAATACAGTCTGTGATAAGTCAAAGTTTGGAGGAAAACAAGAATAATAACAGAACAAATATATATATTTTTTTATTTCCAACTCTTGCATATTGTCAATTACATAAGTTCTGAAAAAATAAAAAATAAATAAAAATCTGGAGTTATACTGAGATTTTTGCAGAGGTAATCTGACACTTTGAACCTTGACCTTGACACAACACCTCGTTCACGCAGCGAGGACAGAGAAACTCACCACCAGTCTGTGATGAAGATCTCTTCTTTAGCCTCCTCCAAAGCGTCGGCCACGTCCTCCATGTACGTCTTCCCGTTCACGTACCTGCGCAGACACGGTTTTGCTGTTACACTCTGCATCTCCTACAATCAGACGTTTACTCCCAGCGTTTCGACGCACGCACTGAAGAATGCAGCAGAGAAAGGAGAAGCTGCTTCTGTTTTCTTAGAGCTTATGGTGTGATCACAACTTCAGTCTTCAGCCGAATTTTAGACGCGACAAACGATTTTTCAGTTCTCTTTCCTCCATGTTATTTCTCATTAAAAACCACAAACCTGTGTCATGACTGAACTGTTCTTTATCTACCACTTTTGCATGAGCCTAAATATAATTTGTTAGCTAAATATAATTTGTTAGGGGGGGGGGGGAGAATGCAAAAAAAGGAAGAAATTGCCATGCAGCCAGAACAGAGATTTGACTACTCAGTCCTCGTAAGCGTTTCCATAGTAACCAGAGAAACACTTGCAGAAGAAGGTGGAGAAAACGTCTTATTTATTCTGACACTTGCATTCTTGCAAATAGCACAGTTACATTCATTTTACCATGTGGGTATAAATGTATTCACGCGTTGTAAAGCTGTGGGGCAATGAGTTGACACTTAACTCATGACTTCCTGTTGATGTCGAACATAAGACACAAAGGCCCATTTCTCCTGCCGTCCGTCAAAATTCTCCATTACCGATGGATGTGGCTGTTTGAAGGAAGGATTTCCAGTTGCAGTCTGTAACTGCAGCAGATCTGAAGAAGCTCCTGACTTAAACTGCTTTTCATGTTGTGCTACAGTAGAGGAGGGTCAGAGTCGTCTATTTTCAGAAATCGGGAAGTCAGAAAAAAACAAGCCACTTTTCTAAACCCAACATCTGCCCCCTGAGAAACAGTCTAAAAGTTTACCGCAGTTTTAAAGTAGGCAGGGCAAGAACTCCAGATTTTCTAAACCGGGAAGATGGCAAAGGATGTAAAATAAATCTGCACTACTCGCTATTTAGATACCCGGAGGGTCGAAGCCTGCCGTCTTTGGAGTCGACAGATCTCCAAGAAACTAGTAGATGCTGTCAGGGTCCGAACTGGTTTCTTGGACGCCATATTTCCTGTTCTATCATCACAAGCACAAACGTGGAGTTTGCATCACTGTACCGTTTTTCTCGAGAGATCATATTTCTGCAATTAAAGGTGCATTCATTTCCAGGGGTGCCTGGAGGGCGCTGTATAAAAACAGGAAGCGTCAAAGAAACGAACCAAAATATTTCTTTCAAGCGCCAGTTTCGAGGTTTCAAAGCGATCAGCATTAAACTGAGTAAAACCTTTTGTTTGTTCGTATTTGCACACCCACACATCGCCGACGACCCCATCAATTTTTCTGTCCTCCCTGGTGCAGTTACCATTTGGCAGGGACGTTTTCCTGTTCCTGTGCGAACGACCCGAAGCGGTGTTCTCGGAGGAAGGCCTTCCCGTGACTCCGCACGAAGCTCTCGATGCTCTGGCCCCACCAGCGCGCGTGTCTGTAGCTGCTGCACTTAAACACAAGCGTCCTGCCGGCAGAAGACACACGGATGCTGTTTAGTACGTTGGAGGTCACAGTTCGGAGGCAAAAGTTTCATCCGTTTACGAAAACATTAGAGCTTTAAAGCTTTAGGATATTAAATCTGTGCTTGATTTTGTTTTAGCTGTTTCTTTGGGGCGGGGGGGGGAAGTACACTGTAGGAGGAATCACTTTAACCACTATTTATTCTGTGGCCACAGATATGACATATTGCTATTAATTTTCACAACATGGGGAAATGCAATGAAGCTCAAATGTTCATGTGCGCACAAAATAGTGCAGAAACCCAACCTGGAAAGGCTGTCAACGCGGACTCCATGTTGGGTCTCCGTCTCTTTGGAGTCCATCTTGATGCTGAACTCTTTGTCCACCAGCAAGACGAAGGAGATCGCCCCGGAGTCTGGCTTCATGTACAGCAAGAACGAGTCTTTGACCACCAGCCAGCTGCAGAACACACGTTTAGTTGTTGTCAGCATCGTCATCAACAACCTCCAGCGTCCGCATTTACTGTTGCGACTCTCTGCCGACTCTCGGAGAAGAAGAAGCGCTTCTTTGGCTCCTCGTCTTAAGGGAAGGGTGTGGGAAGAAAAACCATCAGTGTGCATCAGGATGTAGGTGGCTTGGCCGAGCGCTTCCAGTGTGTGGGATTTTTGAGTGGATTTATTGTCCTTAGAAAAACAACATTCGAAAATGGCTTGATGGTAGTTTAGATAGGACGAAGGAATAAACATTAAAGCTTGTGGGGGAAAAATAAAAAGATCTATTCAATCTGTGGAGTTCATGATTTTTCTTCTCACCTTTTTATGTGTGTAAACATGCTCAAAATGTATTTTTTCAACAGATTAAAGAGCAATAATTATTTTTTTTTTTTTTTTGCATTACAAGAAAATACAAGAAAACCTGCAGCCCCTCAGACTAGCTTAACATATATTTATGAAAATTGATATACGTGTGGAAATCCTACAAATAAAACGTCTCTTGCAAAAATGTCCAAATCCTTTGCCAGGAGGATGTCAAAGGTCTGCTGTATATTATTGAATTTGTGGAGGATGATAACTGTACAGTGTCGTTTCTTCAAACAGCTGATAAAAATCTCATAATGTGTCATATACATGTCAGGGTCCTACGATGTTTCAAATTGTTTTTTTTGTTTGTTTTTTTTTTTTGGTTTTCTGTGTTTGTAGTTCTGACTTATCGGCTTTATTAGATCAGCCTTGTTTCTGTTTCACTATAGCTCAGTACTTTTCTGGCTTGTTCATTTATTCTTTCTGCTTAGTAGTTCATTATTACAATTGGATTCATTTTCCTAGTTCCCCTGCTTGTGCACGCTCCCTCTTTCTCTCTACACCTGCAACCTGTTAGCTAATCAGCTCCAATCTTTTGTTCCATCATTCAACCTCCTTGTACTTGTCCTCCTCTTTTGCTTTCACTCCTCTCTGGTTCCTCCTGTTAGATCCCGCCATGCTCCTCCTTTTTGTCATCCTGGCTGTATGCAAGTTCTTGTAAATTCAAATTTTTAGTTTTATCAAATTTATCACCATCTACTCGACGCCTCTGCCTGTCTGCATTTGGGTCCACCGTAGCCTCCACAAATCGTGACAATAAAACCTCAGACACTACAGATTTTAATTTTTTTTAGGGGGGGGGATTAAAAAAAAAAAAAGATAGCAAACAATGTGACAAACTAGAAAACAAGCATTGATGGAGCAGCGGCGACGCACCGTTTTGACCAGCGATAGCAGGCCTGACCCTGACCGCAGCAGTTCATTCCTGGGATGCGATGTCCGCCGGAACGCTTGTAGATCATGCCTTCCCTGTTTGACGTAAAATGACGAGAAAATAAGAAAACAAATGTAAAACCAAGCTCTGCACTGGTTATAAGAATCTTTGTTTATTAGGAGAAACAGTCAAAATGGGGGGGGGAAATAAAAGAAGAAAACTTACAGTCCTTTGGGACCCAAGTCATGTATGAAAGACAACTGGCTAACGTCAATGAACTCCATCTGAGAACACAAAGGAAGACAAAGCAGGAGGTTTAATGCTGCGGGTTTGGTAGTTAATACTGATATGGAAATATTTAATGTGGGATGAATATTAAAAATCACATAAACATGACAGAATAAAAAAATGATAAAAAAAAATGTATTAGTTACTCACAGTGTGGTGATATTTCCGATACATGGCCATCTTCAGAAGCGTGTTTATGTAGTCCTCCAACTGTCTCTATAGAAACACACGCTACATTGCATCACAGTGATCGCTCTAACGACAAAATCTATGTATAAAACCACCAACACGCGGAAACACATTGTCAGAGAGGGCTTGAAAAAAAATTAATAAATAAATAAATAAATAAATAAGTTGGCATGGAGTTTAGTGCCATGGCAACAAAAAGAGCACACAGAGAGCATCGTGCAATAACTCAAGTATTAAAGCTGTTCTCCGACCAAAGAGGAGGCCCCAGTCGGAAGAATGCCAACTCACTCTCCTGCTGGAGACCTGCTCATCTCTGGCCAGCTCATCTCCTCCCCCCCGGGGCAAGGAAGGCATCTCCCTCACCTCGCTCTTCCTCACAGTCTTCCTCCTCACGGTGTGGCTGGGAGGGAGAAGATTAAATCCCGAAATTGAAATGCACTGGTACAGAGAGAGTGTTCATAAAATCACATAGTCAAATGGGTTTTCGCAGAAATAGGAAGTGACGGGGGGTGGGAAGGTTTTCTGTGGTGGCCCAGACAGGAAAACGAGCTCCGTCACGGGTAGTTATAGAAAGGCAAATGATCAAAGCGACGGGACGGATAAGCTACAGCTGTGAGTCGGCAAGAATTTCTTCGCGCTAATAAAAACGGAGCAGTCGTTAACGTTATGTTGACTCGTATTACGTGACCGACTTTGTTTGCGGACGGTCAAAAATGATGACAAAAAGCACTTTGAACAAAAGTTCGGACATTTAGGGAGTTGAAAGCTCATTACATCATGAGATGCAAGTACAGAACTAAAACAATAATGTCACAGATGGTGACTTTTTATGGAACACACACTGCAGGAGCGATATACTGTACATAACCAAATAATATGGATTGTAAGCTAAGTGTAATCATTTTTGTTCCCCTTCCAGATAAACTTTACAGTTGCAAACTATGTGAAGATACAATTTTACAACTGTGTGTCGCTTGTGCAAAATGCCCGTTCCTGTTTTTCCAGTCTTATCTTTGTGTTCGTGGTTCGCTAACAAAGGCAGCGTTGTTCTGACACGAATCAAGCAGCGTCAACATCAATTCTCAGCTCCCGCATAGCATAAACAGAATGAAGAATATGAATAGAAGTATGACTATGCAAATACCAATTTAGTTTTTATGAATCTGCCCGTTCAGACTTAAGGTCACTAATAGAACCAGGATTTTATGTTAGTTTCCCCCCATAAGGATATTCTGCACAGCTAGTCGTTGGAAAAATCTGGTGTATTTTTGTTCAGTCGGCAGAAACTATTACAGAATATCAAATTTGTGCTTGGAACAACGAAAACACACTGCTCTGTTTTGATTCCCACAATAGTTTCGTTGGAACCGCTTTGCAAGCTAAATTATCAATGAGTCGCATCAAAACAAAAAGGAAATACACCAGCTTTGGCCTGACACTTCCCTCCTCTAGCCGGAGGAAGGAAGAAATGATATCGCAGTATGTGTCGAGTTAGATAAATTTACTTAGAAAAAAAAAAAAAAAAAAACGAGGCTGTCCTGCAGTGATTCTTGTGGGGACAAAATATCTGTTCCTGGGTAGGAAAACTGAAAATGTAGCTTCTAGGACGTCACTGGTGAGTGAGTTGGAAAGTGTCACAGTGTAGACCATGTAATCTATCTGAAATGAAAGATTTCATATGTTTTTTTTTATTGTTTGTTTTTTTATTATTATTATTATTTGAGTGAAGCATCAGATCGAGGCCGGTTGTAAGCAAATACGCTAAATGCGTCATTTGTTTGGGTTTTGCATACGAAACAGTACGTGTCTGAGCGCGGGGCGGCGTCCGCTACGTCGTTTCGGGAACGAACCTGCGTGACGGCAGCGGTATCCTAATGAGGGTTTTGTACGTCCTCAGCTCTCTGTGCAGCTCCAGGAAATGTTTCTCCTTCCTCTTGACCAGCCAGGTAAACTCTCCGTGCTTCATCTCGATCTTAAACACGGCCGGCAGGGACTGCGGACACACGCAGCGGGCGAGTCGGTTAAGCTCAAACGGAAGAACGTATCGTTTCAGATCGTAGAGAGCTTCATGTGGAACAGGGTACCTTGTTGACGCTCCTGTGCTGCGACAAGTTGAAGCGGTCCTGCGCCGTGGTGAACCGCTCCACCTCTAGGATCTTGGCGGTAATTGGCACAGTGGGGAGGTAGACCTTCGCACTGGCCTCCTTAAAGCCCACTGTGGCATACACCGCTGAAAACGGTATACGGCAGTCTCCTAAGAGTGAAAACCAAAACAGATGGTTAATATTAATGAAGATGTGGGGGGGGGGGTTGTGTGTGTGGGAGTCGATCATGGCAGGCTGCATTTCTAAGAAAGTCTGCTTTTGTCCACGATTTTGCTGCATTTAATATATATGAAAGTCTGCGGTATCTGCCTGAGCGTTTTAATATTTTGTCACATTACAACCACAAACCTCAGTCGATTTTATTCGATAGATCAAAAACACATTTGTAGAAGTGAATGTTATTCTAGAAATAAAAAAAATCTGCAGAAGCTGGCTGTCTTTTGGGGTTTGTGTTTTAAACAAAGCATGAAGAAGCTGACATTTCTGCCCGTTCTTCAAAGAAAAACAGCTGAAGCTCAGTGGGACTGAATGGAGAGTATCTACAAACGCCCTAATGCTTTGTCCTATTAATTAAAGGAGCCAAAAGAAAAGAGCAATTCAATAAAAGAGTCAAAATTATGTTGCTGCAAAGACACCCAGTAGCCATGCCGTGTGTAAATCAGCTCGTAATTTTATCATTTAATAACAAAAGAACTTATTTTCGACATTGCGCCTTTCTTTATGATAATGTTTATATTGTCATAATAATGTTGCGGCACGTTCTTCCTCACCATTTTGATTTTATCCTTGTCAATATTTCAAATTCATCAATATTACTTCTCTTCACCCTGATCTGCTGATTCTGTACTCGGTAAATAAGACCTTACAGCTACATTTGGTTTAGAAATCATCAGTGGGAGTCTGTGAGGGGTGGAGACATTCATCGCCTGCACCTGTTCCCACGGCGCTGATTAGCACCTTTCAGTACAAAGTTTTCTGCTGTGCCTCACCTGATTGATGGTGTGAGAGATGTTATATTACGAAGCCTAAAGAGCTGATTCAGATGGTTTTCATCCCGCCTTTCTCTTCCTGTCTGACTAAACTGATTACGTTGAGATGAAGCAACGTAAATAACCACATCAGCCTGGGGTGAGGTGAGGAGGACTAAAGGAGTGGTGCGGAGACAAACATTAGGTAATTAATTCTAATAATCATTTTTGGATTGCTAGAAACAAGAACGTGTGCATTGAGCAACAACACAACGCTTGTGAATTTCTGGAACTGGAGTGTCATCACATCTCTTTTAGTCATAAAATGAAGAAGCAGAAACAAACGATTGCGTCCACATTGTTAAATACGTTGCTGGAGATTTTCTGCCGTTCTGTTGTAACGTAACAAACTCTAAGAGAGGTGCAAGAATTTTTCCAAGTGAATAAAAAGTCTATCTTCAAACCTTCTCCGCAACTAGATTGAACGTGGCCTGTTGTTTTTCCATTTTCCAGATCAATTTCGCTTCGGCATTTTAAAGATGTTCAGAAGAGTCAGTGTATTACGTTTGACTCTTTCCCTTGTGAGAAACGAGGCGACACACACCCAAGTAGTTCCCGTCGTAGTCGAGCTCCTCGCCCTCCTCGAGGTCCAGCTCTCTGGCGTCCAGGCTTTCCACAAGGTCGGCCATGTCGATACCATCAAGCGTGTCCGAAGCTGCCCGGGTCTCAGAAACTTCAGCGTTCACCAGGTTGAGGTTACTGGCAGTAGGCTGAGCCTTGTCAAGCATATCTTAGCAGTCAGACCCCAGTGCAGGGCGCACCTGTGGGAGAGAGGAGGCGATTATGACGTTTGAGTCATTTGTTGATTCATGAATTTGAGACTGGTGGATCCACTTCCTGGAGTCCACACTCCCACATGGGAGGGACAGTCATTTGACTTTTGACCTTTGTGACCTCATTCTAAACCCAGCCGTTCTATTTTGAGTCGGAAAACTGTCAGAAATATGCAGGACCTCTGACAAACATGCGCAAAGAAGGATTCATGCACCACTCACACAACTACGACAAGATTGCCATAAGAGTAATCCGTTCAGTTTAATCTGGTTAGTTAAATATGTTTGTTCAGCTGAAATGGCTAATGTATTAAATAAATGATTCCTAGATTGGTGAGAGGGGGGAAAAAAATAAGGTGTGATCAGTTTTATCATCGTTACCTCTGGTGCGGATAAATCATAAAGGCTAAGGCTGATAAGATGAAGATGGATTACATGAAATCAAATGAAGTGCGTCACACATCTGGTGATTCTCTCTCTCTCGCCATAACCCTCAATATCTACTTATCAAGCACATAATTTTAACGAAACAGAATCGAGCTTATGAATAAAATCACCAGTCCGATGTTTGCTCGTGCTCGTCCAGGAGCTTCTGTTTGAAAAACGTCCTTCCAAATGGACGTCTTTTCTAAAATACATTCTTCCTGTTGGTTCTGAAACCTGTCATTTGCACAACAAGCTGTCCCTCCTATGCTTATCATAAAATGTTAGTGGCTTTTTTGCTACAAAGAGTCAGCAGCCAAACTAACACACTGGTGCCATAATTGCAGCTGCTAAGAAAAGTCAGCCTGTTGGACGCCCTGCGTGACCCACCCCCTCAGGTGACGGGGGTGGGAGGTGTTGTGGGAGTGGGTGTGAGTGTTGGTGTGATGGTGATCTGTGTCTGTGTCATCCAGTATTTAACAAAAATTCATTTTATGTAAATATTTTCCTGAGCTCCAATTCCTACACTTCAGTCAGGTATCAGTATTTTATATACATAAAATACTGATACCTTTGTGATCTTATATATATATATATATATATATATATATATATATATATATATATATATATATATATGTATATATAAAGCTGATCTGCATTGACAAAAGAATAAATAAATAAAAAATAAAAATCAACATTTGAACTAAAGTAATTCCAGAGCATGATGCTGCCACCACCCTATTTCACCGTGTGTTTTAATGATGTGCTACTCAGTAAAAATTCACTGCTGATTTCAGCAGGTGACAAACAGATTTTCTCATGACTAAGGCCTCCATTTTAGGAGGTCAGTGACAACTTTTAGGAGGTCTTAATAATGTCTGGATGTTTTCTTTGGAAGAAACCCATCTCCTTTGTCCAGACATAGAAAGAATACAGAATAATGTTGCCTTGTTGAACACAAATAGTACTAGTGGTGCTTTTTCAGTCCTATAGTGTTTCTGGGCAGCCTCTTTGATAAGCTTCTATCTTTTAGTTAGTTATGGAGAAGAGCCCGGTTTTGGTAACGTCATTGTCGTTCTGTATTTTTAAGAACTTTCCCCCCCCTGACTGATACCTTTGTGTTCTAAGATCACTCTGATCTTATGTTACCTTTGTGCAAACTGTGGCCTGGTTTAGTGGATATAAAAGAGCGAATGACAAAAGGAAAGAAAAGGAGGGTTGAACTTTATTTACCAGCTTTGAGTTTTTTATGCTTTCTTGCCTGAGTTTTTGTACATTAACAAGCAATGGTTACATCTGGGATCATTGAAATACGGGTGTATTCATTTAGTCATAATCACCAAAACATAAAGTAATTCTACCTAAAACACAAAAGATATTTCAAGTTTATCAGCCCTAATAGAAGAAGTTTGCTGATTTCTGTTACAATTTACTCTCTTTAAATGGTTGTTTCATTCACAAACAATCTTTTCACAGCTATCCCAAACTTTATCCTCCAGTCCTATGAGCATTAAATGCCAGGGTGTGTAAAATCCTAGCACACGGTAATCCACGTTTTTGCCTCCAGGAAAAAAAAAAGAAAAGAAAAAAAGCTGACTCAAAGGGAACACCCATTCATGTGCAATACCGCCTGAGCTCAATGATTAGTTACCCAAGTCTACCCGTGCTCCTGCGGCCCATTGTTAAACCTCACAAAGAGCGTTTTGAAAGCGTAGAAATGGAACGGGTCTCAGGAGGGGAGTAACAAGAGAAAAAGGAAGGAAAGTGGAGACCTGATTCAGCAGAAAGATGAAAACATTTTTTAAAGGCTACCAAGGTGTGATTACATTTCCACAGTTGAGTCATTTCATTGATGTCTAGGAGAGTCGGTTCTTCAATTTTGAAAGTGTTCTGTTTCTAACCAGTACAGTACACAGTTTACAAAAAAAATGGAAAGTCACATTTACTTTCTAAACAGTGTGGCTGGTTAGCGTTAGTTGCTAGCTTTACCTTAGCCTTGTAGTTCTTTACTCTGACTATGTTTTCTGTCCTTGTTTCATGCCCAGTGCTGGTGTTTCATACAGTGAATACCGCAGTTGCTCTTAGTTACACATTACCTCTATGTGTGTGTGTATATAACCCCGATATCACCTCTATTCTTTCTTTCCTTTTCTTCTCCCCACTTCACCATTGTCTGGTTTCTCTTCACAGGTAACAAATTAGTTTATTTTTTTCTTGTCATGTCCAGGCTTGTGTTTTCGTTTTGTATTTTCCCTGGATGCTGAACTTCAGAATGCTTTCATTTCATTCAACTAAAGGAAAAAAAAAAAAAAAAGAAGAAAAAAAAACAAAGCGAGATGCCCCATTTATTTCCACAACTGTCGAAGTAGTTGCGACTGGACTGCTTTCTTTAAAATAAAAGCATGAGAGGAACACTATTGTAGGTAAAAAGTAAGGATAGTTTTTTTCTATGTGCGTTAAAAACAGCTTAATTGTCTGGAAAAGCTGTTTAATTGCAAGTCAATACATGCCTCTTCAGTGAAAGCGAGGGATTTCCTTCTTCCAACACAATTTTTTCAGACTGTTTGTGTGTATCTCTGGCATTCATCACACTCGACCAGTAGCTAACGGCTCAAAGATATCCACCAGGCAGCAAGATCCAGCATGTTCGTACAGTCAAACCGGTCACTAGGTTGCATTCAAGGCACATCGGTGCGATTCCAGTTTTTTCGCGATAGTCAAGTTTTTAAAAGTGGGATGCTGTCTTAATAACAGTTCCAATAAAATATGGTCTCTTTTTGAACTGATCCATCTGACTAGAAATATATCTGAGTATCAACACCTTTTGTGGCAAAGTGTTTAAGGAAGGCTAGATTGTAGAATTAGTGTTCACAATTTCAGCAATATTAGAGACTAAATATCACATTTTAATGGCAGAAAATCTATACATTTCTTAGAAAAAAAATTATCTAGAATGGAGACAGTAAGTAAGCGTCTATGCAGAAAAGGTAAGAGAGCTCTGTGACAGTAACCAGGTCAGGCGCTCAATCATCAATAATGGCTTCTTAGTCTGAAACACTTTTTTTTTCTAGGATATTTTGATAATTGGAGTCTTACATTTGGGGGAAGAAACACCTGATAGAAGAGAAAACAGCTTAGTTCTGACCACGGCTAGGACAGACCGGGACTAAACAAGACCAGTGAAGGGTTGTTTGTGAACATAAAGTTTTTCAGCTAGGAAAATGCGCCTACCACTATTTCCATTTTCTATGCACTCTCTCAGCCCAAAACAACTCAAGTAGTCATTGTGTGAGAGGGAGACCACGCACTGGATGAGTGTGTAACCCCCCCAAATATAAATACAACCAAAATGTCAGTCTTTTAATGCACAGCTTTGGTCACAGATTATCATTACATCACAAATGGAATGGGCTAATTAACCACAGAGCACTTTTAAATCCTTGTGTAGGGTGCTAGTTTGATAGGTCTCATCTAAATGAACATTTCTCCGGGCTTCTTGTTACTCGGTGTAAAAATGCCTTTTTAAAACTTCACTGTATGAACTCTAACTTGATCTGCAGACTTTGCCACTACTAGTTCTGTCTTATGCGGCCAATGTGTTATGCTGTTAGGCCTTCTGCAATTTTCTTCTGTTTGACTGCCTTATGTTGCACAGCGGTAATCAAAAACATGTTGTTGACTCTGCAGCTCGACATTTCGAATGGCCACACAGACGAATGAATTAAACTCATTGCGGTAAAGTTTGTTTCACTGAGAAAACTTTGCGTATGTAATCACACATTCCAGAGGACTTGAGCAGCAGTTTTTATTATCTCCACCAAGACTTCAAGCATTAACCCACTCAGTTGATGTGTGGGTTAATGCATGCATTAACTGAGTGGGTTAGGGTTAGCCTAACCCTGTGACTCTGACGTTTTGTGAACTCAGAGTCACAAAACCTCTGAGTTTTGTGACTTAAAACTCAGAGGTTTTAAGTCACAAATTAAAGACCCGGAATGCTAAATGTTGTTTCAGTGTACGTAGCCTTTAAAACAAAACACACACATTGGATGTATTCACATAAACAATGACTGAAACCATATGTGGCTTCAACACGCAACCTGAGAGGAGAATTATCTCCCTCTTCCACTCTGATGGAACTCCTACTTCCTGCTTCCTGTCCTGTTGTCATGGCGATAATTCAAGCAGCTACAGAGCAGACCGCTTATATATATATAAATATCAACTCAAGCAGTTCAGAAGGTCCGCCTCTCTTTTTGTGCGTTTGCCTTTTCATAACGTCAATTAGTGAGAGAGCGACGACGGAGGATAAAAAGAGCGCAAAAGAGGAAGACGTGTAACAGAAAAGGAAATTGGCCACTTGTTAATCTGCTTGTCATAAATAACAGAGAAATTCAGCCTTTGATCATAAGCGGTGTGGTCACTTTTGCAATATGCCTGAAGAAATTAGCTCAGGAATCGGATATTTAATTTGCTATCCAGCTACACAGAAAAGCAAAAATTGTAATTTTATTAACATAAGCACTCGTGTTCATTGCACACGTAGCTACAGCTATAGTATA